CTGGATGATGGCATAGATAAAACGTACTCCTTGAGGAGTATGTTTTATCTATGATGATGGCTAGTTATTTATAATTTAATTTACAGTTACATATTATTGTACTTTTGCGACCAATCTAACCCATTATGTAATGGTTAGAGCACGGGACTTCGGTCCTTGAGGTCCCGGGGTCAAATCTCGCCAAATCACCAATAGATTTTAGATTTTATCTAAGCGATAATGCCGCAATCCCTAGGTCTAAAATTAACAAGCCATACGTCAGCCTATGGAGCAGGTCTAATGCAATTTTTTTTGTCCTAGGACGCTAGGCAGGATGAGCCTGGAATTGTTTTTCACAATACTTCAGGCTAGACCTAGGGGTTGCGGCATTATCACTTAGATCAAATCCATTGGTGACTTGGCGGGGATCGAATCCGGGACCTCAGGGACTGAAGTCCCGCGCTCTAACCACTACGCCGGCTCGCTCCCCAGGTCTAATGCAATGGAATTGAGCATCAATAAGTGTCATGCTATAATTTTCACACGCCGGGCGGCTCCTCTCATCTATGAATATCGAATTGGATATGAAGTTTTAGACAGAGATCTGGGAATTATCTTTACCCCATCGTTAAACCCAATCAATCACATAATCACCTCCATTAATAGAGCCTATCAGGTTCTTGGCTTCATACGAAGATCTACAAGATACTTTCAATCACCTCAAACTCTAGTAGTCTTATATAAAACTCTTGTTCGACCAATTCTGGAAAATAGCTCAGTGGTAAGGTCACCATATCAACTTGGGCATATCAACATGTTGGAGAGAGTTCAAGTACGTGTTATCAGGTTGCTATGGGGTCTCGTGGTTATGATTATTGTTCTACACCCATCAAGGAACTGGAAACCAACTATAATGTTCCATCTCTCAACGCCAGAAGAAAGATGCTTGACCTGCTATTTCTTCACAAGCTAGTCAACGGCATGTTGTACTGCTGCGAACTCCTGAGCATGATCGACTTCCACATCCCATCCCAAGAGGTACCATAGATCCAGGGCTGTCTTCGGTAGGAGGTTTGAGCCAACAAAATTATGCATACAACAGCGGCTTGACTAGACTTAGTGGACTGGACTTAGGCGGGTTAGTGGAGAGACTACAGCTTCTGTCGACTCTTCTTCTCCGACTCTCTGATGACAGTTAAAAGCTCCTTCAACCAGCTATATCTGTAGTAGTATAGTAATAGTAGGCTAGTTCCTAAAATTCTCTTTGTCCCTCTTGATTTTTTGTAATAAGTTGAAGGTTGTTAGAGGTTAGAGCCATTTAATCTTGTTGTTACTTATTGTTTGTTATTGTTGTTAATATTTATTTATTCACATCGTTATAACTGGTTATATAATATATTATATATTATATAACAATATATATATTATATAATTGCTCTTTCGGACTTTATTGATGTTACTTATATATTTATGAGATGTTTTGCTTTATGTATTGTTATTATTGTTTGTTATCCTTCAATTGTAAATTGTTGTATTTTCTTTTTTTCTCTAATTTTTTTTTGTAAACTGGTATGTACCGTTGGAAGCATAAATAAATAAATGATACGTGCATGAGTTAATGAGCTGGTGTCACCTACCTGCCATGTAATCTTGTGGGACGTCTGGCGCTTAACAACACTATACGCGACGTTGCCAATTCTACCAGGCCGCGGCCTGGAGTTAAAGGTGACCATGCCTAAACTCCCCTTGATCATGGTCGCCTTTAACTCCAGGCCATGGCCTTCGAAGTGGCAACGTCGCAAGTAGGGTTGTAACAGCTGTTTTGTTTGGAAGTAGCTATCTCTTCCAAATCCATAGGGTATGGTATTTGTGTATTTACAAAAGCTTGATTACTGGACTATGAAAAGATTGACTCCGCTTAAAATGTACAGATATAGATTTTCAATTCATATTGTTTTTGGTTTTCAATTCCGTATATTTTATTTTCAATAGTTTAATAAATTTATGATCATAAATTTAAATTTGAATCAATAAAGAGCAAATTAATGAGCTGATGTCACCTGTCTGCCATGTTATCTTATGGTACGTCTGACACTAAATAAACCTACTTACGACGTTGCCAATTCTACCAGGCCGCGGCCTTAAAGTTAAAGGTGGCCGTGCCTTTGATACGTCACTGTATAAAATCACGGCATTCTAAATGGAAACTACTTAGAAAAGGGGAAAATACTATTTATCATTTATTTATATTATCCAATTACTGTCACAAAAAATATGTCATATGTTTTCAATATTCCTGTACAGTCCATATTAGTCATAGTTTTGTATTTAGCATTGTATGTTATTTTCAACTTCTCTTTGTTAGCCATCTATAAGTTTGTTTTCAATTGTAAATTGGTGTTGCACCGTTTGAATGTAAATAAATTAATTAATAAATAAGAAAAAACATGTAAGTTACTATACACACCACACCAATGTTAGCCATCTAATTTAATTGATCATATATATATATTGTTTTGTTAATTACAGCATATTAACTAATTTAAGTAATTATTGTAAATGGTTGTTACCGCCAAATAAAAATAAATAAATAAATAAATAAATAAATAAATAAATAAATAAACGTAGCTGTCAGTAGTGCTCTTCTAGCTTTTTTGTTTGGTGGCAGCTAATACGTATTTGTGTATTTTTTTAAGAATGCGAAAGCTTGGTTATTAGGCTATGATAATATTGACTTCATTTTAAATGTACCGAAATAAGTTTTCCATTTATTTTGTTTTTGTATAGAACAGTATTGTTTTATTTTAAAATTTACATTCATACATTTAAATGAATAATACGTGATTAAATGAGCTAGTGTCACCTGTCTGGTGAGAATGAGAGAATGAGAATGTGAGAGAATGAGAATGATTTATTTCCTGAAAGCATAATATGTACAAGGAAACGTCAATACATCAAAATCTTAGCCTAAGCCTGCAACACACCATGCAGAGAATTGAAAAACAAAAACAAAACTTATTTATCATCACACATTGGCACTCATTGGCTAAAAAAACTTACTTACTTGGCCAGGTGAAATTTCAAAATACTCTTTGAATGAGTAAATCGGATTTGCCAACAGAAGAGATTCAATCCCCATTTTGAATTTTGCTTCCGGCAGGTTCCGAGCTGTACAAGGGAGTTTGTTAAAAAACTTATATCTCTGTATACAATAGCTAGATTGGACCTTTCTTAATCTAACATAGGGTACATTCAAGTCGTCCTTCCTCCTAGTATTGTGAGGGTGGATATCACTTCGGAGTTCAAGAGAGCCTGACTCCTGCTTAGTACACAGAAGAGATTGGTAAATATATAAGCTGTACACTGTCATAACGGATTCAGAAATAAAGATAGGTTTGCAGTGGTCTAGAAAATCAGCACCTGCCAAGATTCTGACTGCCGCCTTTTGGAGCGTCAAAACCCTCTCGACTCCCGGAGTGCCACCCCAAAGTCTTAAACCATAAAGAATTATGCTCTGAAAAAAGGCAAGGTAGGCAGTTCTTAGCCATTCAGTGGGTACAGAGTTCTTCAAGTTCCTGAGCAAGTGAATCGCCCTGGAAAGTCTACTACATACAAAAGAGATGTGACTATTCCAATCCAGCTTAGGATCCAACATTAATCTAAGTAGTTTAACGCTTGTGACATTGTGCTTAAGCTGTCTAAGACTAAATATTATGGACTGAGTCTTACTCTCATTCAGGAAGAGAAAGTTAGCTCGGAACCACGCCGAGGCCATTTGGAGAGTCTGAGACATAGTGCCCTGCGCTGCAGGACATTTAAGTTATCATTTACCCCAATTAGAGTAGTGTCATCAGCATAGCAAACAACCCCCTCTCCCAAATGCAAAGAAAGGTCATTTATCATTATGTTGAAAAGCAAGGGCCCAAGGACAGACCCCTGTGGGACGCCATGAGTTAAAGATTTGAGAACAGAGGACTGACCATTTACAGAGACAAACTGTCTGCACCCGCCCAAGTATGATCCCAGTAAGTCCAAACTCTTACCCCTAACTCCATAAAAATGGAGTTTGTCAAGCAAAATTTTGTGGTCCACGGTGTCAAAAGCCTTGCTGAGGTCACACATTGTGGCCCCAGCAAAGCCTCCCCTCTCAAATGATTTTAAAACAACCCCAGTCAGAACTTCAACTGCATCGATTGTGGAACGGCCTGATCTGAAACCATACTGGGCTGACACAAGCAGTCCATTACTTTCAAAATAAGGTAACATTTGATCCTTAATTATACCTTCAAAAATCTTACCAAACACAGAATGGTCTGCAATGTTAGCTAATGGAAAGTCTGGCTCTAAACAGCACTACTTGCGACGTAAAGCTCAGGATTATTTAAGCAATTGAACGAAATCGGAACTATAAGTTTCGCCACTATTTGACTATTATAAGTTGTGGTGAGACTTACGTTTCATACCTCATAACGATTTAGAGAAATTGTGGCATAGCTTACAACTGATTATAAGCTATGCCACATTTTCAAGACTATAAGCTATGGATCGAATTACCGATTATAAGCTATGCCATTATAAGATATGAAACTCCACGGTTAATTTCATTCTGTTTCTTCCCCCGCGTCCTGCGTATTTTGGAATCGTCCGTTCTTCTCCATCTATTATTCTGAGGTTTCGAGATCGAGATCTACGAAATGTCGATAAGTTGTTGAATGCCAATACGATAGTTTTGTTCTTTTGTTCACATTACCTCCATTTTACATATCCTTGGTGCTTCCATTTGATAATGAATTTTAATTATAAAATTAAACGATTTTATTCTTCTTCCATAGATAATTGCATAAATAAAAAATATTTTTTTAGGGTAACAAATAATAATTATAGTTGTGTTTAATCATCGATAGCTCTTGGTTCGACCTTCGACACTTTTAGTGAAAACGTCCAGCGAAATAATCGCATCGCGATGAGTGAGTTTGTGAGTGTTTCTGTTTTCTGTTTGAGTTTGAGTCAGAATTCAGAATCAGAAGTAGAACAACAAGCTTGAGGTATTGTGTTCGTGTGCAAGAGACATGTAATTTTCAAAGGATATGCATATTGTTTGTTGTTTTCGATGAGATTAAGCTCTTTATCTTATGTAGGCGTATTTTTGCCTCTTTTTCTTCAAAGATATTTGGAAGAATTATGAATCAGAGTGATCTGTAAGTATATTTTCTGGGAACCTCAAAAGTAAATCGTAGAAGTTAGCTTATTGTAGGCCTTTTGGACATTTCAGGTTATAGCTTTGCTAGATGATTGCCTTTGTTTGATAAACATGAATTTTTGGGGATTATGGGTGAGAGAAACCACCTTTTACCTAGCTAAGTTAGTTTTTATGTGAGTGGAGCAAATTCCCACTAGAAAACCAAGGTTGCTTCATAGGCTAGATGGATAAGTTTAACCCAACATCACTAGGGATCCTAGTAAAACTGACTTATTTCATTGATAGGAGATAGCTAATGTATCTTATCAATGTTTTCAAATAGCCTACTAGGCTATGTGTTTGATGTACATGTATGCTAAGGCAAATGGGTTGAAGATAATATTTCTCTAGGTTTGTTAGCCTAGTGTTCATGTGTCTTGAGCCTAGGGTAAAGTTATAGTACTTATAATAGTGCCTATTACCCAGCCACTAAGCAATAAAGCCCCAAATGACACATAACTTAATAGGTTACTTAGTTTAGATGAACCTCAAGTAAGTGCAATCTAATATGAGGATTGCATTTAAGCTGTTACCTGTAGGCCAGCCTACTGAGCTTAAGCGAAGTAAGATAGGCCTTTTTATCCAATATGTTACTTAGATAGAGAAATAATATGTAATGTGCGGTCCCAATTTATTTCATACACGGTTTCGCTTGCTAGGCCTATAGAGAGAAAAAATAGTTAGCCTAAGTTATGCGCTGAAGGCACAACTTATTTCCCTACGCAATACCAATATTTTATATTTAACATTGCCTAGGTACAATATTTTAACCACACTGAGTGCAGAGTGAACCCCTAGGCGGTGGTGCGGAATACATTTTAAATAGCTTGTACTCACTTGTCAGTTTCCTCCCCCCTCGTCTCGCTGAAATAATCTAGGCCTAGGCCTACCTGCTAAGCTATAAGCAAAATCGTTAGACACGGCGATCTACCACTTATAATGTAGACTCCTATTAGGCTTAAGCTGCGCACTGCAATTGTTTGTTAGTTTTCCCCCATCCGCACTTTATGATCGACTTACTGTGTTAGGCCTTGGCTCTGTTTGCTGGACTAGGAATCGGGATAACTCATCATGAACTAACTTAGGGCAAGATTAAGCTACCAGTTGATGTTTCCTTTTTTTTAAATAGTGGGCCAAATATTTAGTAGCCTATTATAATGCATAATAAATCAAATTTAGGCATCTGTTACTATGGTCTAATGTTTTTTTATGGATATGTCTCTAATCAAATGATCCTCAAATAGGCTATCTTAGTTTAATATAGGCCTAGGTACTTATCAGTAGGCCTAACATAGCTTGCTAGCATCCTCGTAGCTTGCATGGAGGCGCTATAATATGGCCGTACCGTATTTAGAATCGATATAGCCCCTGGTGGGTCACATCAGTGAGTTGCCTCTCTATGCTGATGGAACTGAATGAACTTGAGTATTTTTGACAATCGAATCGGCGAATAAACCTAGGAGGCTAGGATAGTAGCTAATAAATAATATCATTCTTTCATTAATTAGGCATAGGCCTACCATTAGGGGGCTGCGGACCAGATTTGTTTACTTTGAATCAGGTAAAAAATCTTACCTTCTGGTCTCGGGCCAAAAAAAGGTCTGAATATCGGTTTACGTTGGTAACTGTTGATTTTTTATAAAGAATATCAATTTTGGAGCCGAGCCGACACTAGCCTGCTAACTTCAGAGATCTACTTAGCACAAAGTCAGAAAATTGAGCTCGAGCCGAGCCTTTACGACCATAATAACATTAAAACACGTTGAAAGATTCACGCTTTTTCTGCGATCGTGGATGTCGACGAAGACATTTTCTCCGCATGACGATGTCTCCGTGGCCACGTGAGATGTTCAATATTTTACCGCGATTGTGGAAGACTATAATTATGTCTAATAATGTCCAGATGACTGCGAGACACGTTCAGGATTTTGCTGCGATAGTGGAAGATGATATTAAGGTAAACCGCCTAAATTCCGGTCGCTACCCAATTGCCGATCACGATGTTTGTTATATACAAAAATAAGGATTTTACAGTTAGGACCTTAGGATTTAGTTTACGGAGTTATTCTTGTTTGAATCCGTACCAAACTGAAGTTAAAAAAAAGAAGAAAACATTTTAGAGGCCTTTGCAGTGACGAATGACAATAGACAATAGACAATTTATTCATCGTTCAGTAATTACAAAATTACAATAGATTTCGTCAAACAGAATATATAAATAAAGGTTACTTTTTAAAAATCTAGATCCTTGTTTTTGAATTTAACATAAAAAAAATCATCTATTTTGTACATTGGATTGATTTTGCACCACTTTAACAGTTTGTCAGAGAATACATTTAAAGGCAAAGAGCTGAAATCAACAGGAAACTTATTAAATATTTTAAGACCCAAGTAGGTATGGTAATTCTGAGTTCTTGACAGCCTTACTCTATCTAAATCTAATGTACCTCTATTTCTTGTTTGGTAACTATGAACACTATCTCTAACTACATATTTGTGGTAGTTTTTTTTTAACAAAAATAGACACTTCATATATGTACAGACTAATTACAGTTAATATATCAAATTCTACAAATAATGGCTTACAATGGTCTCGTTTTCTACTACCAGTCACAATCCTTATCGCCTTCTTTTGTACTTTCAAAACATCTGTGATTCCTACTCCATTTCCCCATGTCTGCTCAGCGCCATGCTGTCTACCGTTGCTTGTGTCATCTGCTAAGCATAGAGGTAGGTAAGCAAAATAAGATTTTACGTGGTTGTTTGTAAACTTGTATTATTTAATCATCTGGTTTTATGTTTGTTTATTATATTTCCTGTTAATCGATACAATGTTTACAGCATAATTCACAAAACTGTTAGGTACAGCTTTAGCCCGACCGGGATTTGGCCATTCAAAAAACCCTGTTTCCCTAACTCCGGTCGCTGTGACCAATATTGCACGGTCTCAGATAATTGTCCAGCCTAAAACTCTCCAGCCATATATTAGATGAAATTAAGATATATTTTTTTTGTTTTACACGGAATAAAAATTTACGAATAATTATATAATATTGCGGTTAATATTCTAAGTAAAAACACAATATATTAACGTAAAAAATTGTTTGAAATATTGTTAACTTCAAACCAATACTTATGTTTAATATGATATTTTTTTACTTACTGCAGTAGGCTATTATATAATTATTAGTTGCGGTAATTTTATTCAGGATACAACAAAAAAAAGAATATACGGTACCTATCTTAATTTAATAAAATCTACGGCTGAAGGCTTTAGGCCCTGTATTTATTGTATAATGATATAATTATTAAATCATATAACTTACCATTAAATCATTTTTGACAATTAAACTTCAATATGAAATCCCGTTTAGACTATTGATATTGAGTGAAAAGATTATTTCGACATTAGTTATTACAAAAGATGTGCATTATTGTCTTTGTTTTCAAGAAAGATGCCAACTCTGATAAAAAAAAAAATACAGTACACTGTCGAGGACGTCGAAAAGGCGATTGAGACCGTTGGACGAGAGGGTGTTTTGATTGCTACTGCGGCGGCCTCTTTTGGCATTCCGAAGCCTACACTCCAGGACAAGATAAAAGGAAAATACTCCATCCATGCAAAAACTGGGCGTCCATCGGTATTGTCACCCGACGAAGAAAATATAATTTTGGCATGGGTGATGGAGATGGCAAAACGGGGGTTTTCTGTAGCCAAAGGCCAGCTAATTTGTTCAGTGGCTAAACTGACCAAGGACCTAAATCTTTCAAACCCGTTCCCCGATTCAAAACCAGGAGAAAAATGGTTTAAACTCTTCATGAAGCGCCATCCAGAGATCACCCAACAAGTATCTCAAGTATATTGACTTCGTCTAGATCTGATGTGACTGAGGAGATGCTCAAGAAGTGGTTTGAAGAGGTTCGGTCGTATATGGACGAAAACAACCTGATACCCGCCTTCAATGACCCCCCCAAGCGCATTTTTAACGCAGACAAGACCGTGTTTTGTGTCTGAAAGGCAAGAAAGTTCTTGTGAAAAAGGGGGCCTCACCGTGAGCGGAAATGATGAGAAAGAATGTCGCATGGTGTTGGTAAATGCAAATTCTGCTGGGGATTTTGTACCCCCAATGATAGTAAGGGGTGCACGGTTTCCTATGGATTTGATATGGTCAGGAAGAGAATTCCACATTCTAATTGCAGATACCAAGAAGGATTTGTTAAAAACTGTTGACTGGTGAATTGGTGTAGATAAAAGGTGAGAGCCTCTACGAGTGGCACTGGGGCTGATGTCAGAAATAAAATGGAAGTTGTCTGATAAATAATTGGGAATTTTACTACTGATAATGAAGTGTAGAAGACGGAGGGTGTGAAATTCCCGAAGTTCATTTAACTTCATCAATGAAAGTAGGTTGAAATAGGGAGTTACATGGTCATATCGCCTAAGGCCAAACATGAATCTGATACAGGAATTTTGCGTTCGCTGAAGTCTACTAGAAACTTCATTTGTCATGTCATTGATCACCACATCACAGTAGTTGAAATGAGTCAAGATGAGAGTTTTTACTAACATGATTTTCAAGTTCAGTGGAAGGTAGTCTGCAAAACGTTTGATGGTGTGAATAGCTCCAAAGACCCTGTTACAAGTGGATTTGGCTTGGTCAGACCAATTCAAATGTTTGTTCATTATTCGAGTCCTAAGTTTTTAACTTTGTCGCAGTAGGTGAGATCCTTTCCGTCAAAGTTAAGTCGTGGTGCAGTGAGTAAGTTGATTTTAGTCATTAGTCTGGGGTAGCCAACAATCATTGCTTGTGTTTTGTCAATGTTGAGTTTAAGTCCGTTGTTTGTGGCCCAGTGAGTTATCGATTCAATGTCAATGTTTATGAGTCATACAGCAATATCCATCTCGTCTACATTAACATTATATAATATTATAACATTATATTAGATATTATATTAGCC